TAAAAAGCTGCAGAAACGCCCTAGCTCTGCATGTGTTCCAAACGCGCGAGTTTTCGCCTACCCTCGGCGACGGAAGGGGCTGGAAGTAAACGGCCTCCTAGCTGAAATTCAGATCCAGGCACGGGAGGCGCCCCCTCCCTTACGGCACAAAGCAGACTTCCCAGCCCGAGTGCTGCCACGACTTGGGAGTTTCAAATCTGGCGGGTGTTTCCCCAGAGTTCAGCCTGCTCAGAGGGGGGGAAAAAAAAAAAAAGCGGTTTAAGGTTAAAACCAAGAGATGAACCAACACCCAGGCCCACCCTGGTGTCAGTGCTGCTTGGCCTGTCCTGGATCCTCAGTCTCCAAAGAACAGACCTTCCAGACCTTCGCTGCTTTTCGAGGTGATGGTGGTGAAGCCCAAGCTGCTATAAAGATCTCTAGCCTCTATGTCATCTTGTTTAGTGGCTGAAAGGTAGCGATTTACTGAAGCAGAATCAGTCTAGTGGGCAGGGGTGGTGGGATCCCTTGTCTATGGAGTTTCCTGAGACTAAGGCCCTGGGTAAGGCTTTGTGTCATATTCACAATACCTTCGGACTTGCAGGAATTACTTCCTGGAGGTGTAAATACCCATTTTAATACAGCGTTCAGTAGTCTAAAGCAAAGTTGCTGCTCTGGCTGCTTGGTCCCTATCCAACCTGAGATCCTGAGGATCCCAAGTCGTCCCTCCAGATTCTGTTGAGTTACTCTTTGTAATGATGTAGAACGTATAGCACAGATCCAGACAGCTCAGTGGATTTGCTGGTTGCAAATACATCAAGGAAGCTGTGCCTGTCTAACAGAGAGATCAGTGAAGAGGTTTTTGTAATGCATAATCCCAACAGTCCATGCAAATAAATCTGAGAATAGAAAAACCTGAGGAAGAGATGACTCAGAAGAGAGCCCGTAACCTCTGCGAGGTTATCAGAGTGCGGATGGCTCTATTAACATATCTCTTGTGTTTGCTGATGGTATTGATTCAGCCACCTGATCTTTGGAGGCCAACCTATTTTATAATGCCCCTTACCAGCCAATAAAACCATTGACCTTATCACAATGACAAAAAACTTCTAGCTAGGTATAAACTGTGAGAAAACACCTCTATGGCATCTGATAACATATCAATGCAGCCAGAGACTGGCTGTAAAAATCCTCTGCTAAGATTTCCTGCTAAATACTTTGCTATCTTTGCTCTCTCAAAGCCTATTATGCTGCAAAGGAGTTGGCTGCTATAAAGGGTGGGGTGGGGGGGTTGTAAATATATAGTGGCTTCTTCAGGAAATCCTAAGGAACCTGGATGTTTGTTGTCAAACAAGGATGAGTTGCTAAGGTTGAGCGTCCCTCAAAGACAAGAGAGAGAGGTACATGTCAGAGCCCAGCTATCTGTATATGTACAGGTTGATGTAGTTCTCACAGACTACAGGCTTCCTCATGAAGAGGAAAGTTCTAAATTTGTGTTGTTTTCCTGGCATTCAATAACAGTGTACGTCAGGCAACCTATCCCAGGGAAGACATACAGGATATAGGAGCAAAAGGCACCTCTCTGCAGATGAGTGCAGTGCCAAGGTATCCAAAACCGAAGGCATTCTCATGCACAACTGTGGGATAAGATGTCCATGCGCAGCAGCTGTGTGACACACGCACTCTGCATTGGGTATGTGCACACATAAGCACATGTGCATACCCACTGAAAGCTGGGCCAAATGTTCTCCTTTGTACACGTACACAAACTACAGTGCACAAATGCTAGCCTTTTTTGTTCACACGCACGGAGGACAATTGCACACAATTACATGCACAGGGCTTGGACAGGCATTGTCCTACATGCGCGGCCAGAAAAGCTCCCCACGCACATCAAACCAGTTTTGACCCCCAGTTTTATGCTTCCGGTCCCACAGAGACAAGGCAACCCTTCTCAGAGCGTATGTATGTGCACAAACACCACAGTTTGTGGAGAGCTCTGCAGTGGCAAGAGGTTATTTATAACCCACCAGCAAACTTAGGAAAGCAGCTCCTAGATCAGATGGGTTTGTTAAGCCTGGGGAGGTGCCAGGTCTTCTTTTGTAGCATGGAAACAGGAAGCTGGACCTGAGTGAGAGAAGAAACACTGCTCAAAGCAGGAGGCAGAGGGGAGAAAGGAGAAATTGGCCTGCTTGGAAAACAGGGAATGGGGTGACTGTGACATGGGAGGGAGAGGAAGGAGGGGAGATGTCCAAGTAGAAAAAGTACTGGTCGGCTGTCGCAGGGGCACGGAGATGTGGGGGAAGCTGATCCTGACAGAAGCTGACAGGCCAGAGTTGTGCAAGCCGTATGAAAAAGGGTGGGAAGTTGCTATGGCAAGAGAAGAAGCTGCAAGTTTCTGGGCCCAAAGAAGGAGGGAAAAATCAGTGTCTCTAAGCATCTTGAGCGTGCAGGTCTTGCAGAATGTGCACCTGGGATGGGTGTCCCTTCCCTGGGTATGTTTTGTTCTGTTGCTTTCCCATTGCTATTTCCCTGTCCCTGTGCTGTGCTCATGGAGGAATCTCTTCCAGCTGTCACTTGATAACTGGGCAGTGGGCTCGTCTGTAAGGCAACAGGCCAAACAGGAGCAAGAGCAGCTGACAGACAGGAGAGCAGAGCCAGGGCCCTTGTCTCGGCCGCACAGAGGGGTGTGCGGGAGGCGTAGGCTCAAGACAGCCACTCACCGAACAGCTTCCCGGAAAACCCTCTGGACAAGGGTTTCTAGCAGGCCTGCCTGTGATCTGAGACCTGCGGAAGGATGTGTCCAGAGCTGAGCGGTTTTTAAACGCAGCCATTTTGAGCCATGGTTCGCTGACTAGCGTGGCAGGGTTATGCATGCGTGAGGGAGGTCAGATTACAATTCTCAAAGTTAAAGCTGTAGGGCCTGATTTCCAGTTCCTCTATTTCTGTGCAAAGCTAAGCGGAGGTAGGACAGATAAAGGTCAGCAGACTTTGCACTGTTTATAACCTTGGGTTTAATATGTGTCCTGCATCCTATAGCCCCTTACAAATGTAAAGATGGGCAGCTATAGAGAGTAGCCGTAAGGGCAGCCAGCAGCCCGGCACCTCCCTCTCTGACACCTGTAGGAGATTCACCAGGCATAGGAAAACCTGCAAAGACTCAGCTCTTACAGAACCAGCGGCCTTTGAGGTTTGGTACTTGAGCTCTAGTAATGCATGTGGAAGAAATGCAAGAGATGTCTGACTCCTGCTGCCCACAGAAGCAGCAGAACCGCCCGTGTGTCGACTGCTCAGCCACCACATCCACAGCCCAGCATAGTAACGTAAATGTCCATGGATTTCAGTTTAATTTAATACGTTGCAGCAGCTAGAATAGAGTTTCTTAGGCAATTACTGGGACTCGGTGCCACCCAGGCTCTCTAGGTTAATACTTTTCTGCTTAAGTTCTCTGTTCGCTGCATGAGACCTCCTATCCCAAATTTATCCCCACTAAGAACCAGTTTACAAGCTGTTGAGAAAAGAGAGTTTATATAATGACAGTGAGGTAATGACAGGCAAGGCTATTAATGGACAGCACTGCCTCTAAAGAATTCTAGGTAGAGGGGAGGACTCTGCACTAATATAATGCCATCCTGGTTGGAGCCAGTATTTTGATTAAAACCTTATCTTTTCACCTGATGGCGCGTTTGCACTGCAGAGACTTCTGCGACTAAGGGTACGCCCGCAGAGCCCTCTGGTGGAAGTACCATTTAAGACCACGGAAAGATTTTATTTCTGCCAGCCCAGTAGTGGCAGCTTCTGGAAATGACCTATATTAGGGTGGCAAAAGTGTCCTTCCATCACTAAATCTGAGGTTAGCAGAGACTTTGCTAGCATAGCTAAGTCAGAAAGCTTATGGTTTTCTATTTTTTTAGGTGATAAATTATGCTAGCGAAATTTATTCTTTGCCGTGTTTACCATTGCCGGTAACATAGTGGAAGCGGCGAAAGACGCCATAATTATCTTTCTGAGCTCATTAAAGAATCTGTGGCACGCAATTCCCTCTAGGTGTCTTGACTGGCAATTTGAGTACGCCCAAAGCTGCAAAAGAAGCCTGTTTGACTGCAGACCACTGTCTCTCCAACACAACAGCTACAAGTTACTGGCAGTTGTACTCAGCATGACTCCAGGCTCCAGACATTCATGTCATCTACTTCTACATCGGCTAGAAACTTAGTCCTGGAAGATAGTTCAGATCAGTTTGTACTTGGGGGCGAGGGGGGGACCACAGCAGATTGCATACA